TGGAAACAAATGGGAGGCAAGAAGAATCCTTTGCCATCGAGCACCACGAAGAGTATCCTGTGCCCAGAAGCACCCAGGAAGAAGAACAGTAACAGGGAGGGACAAAAAGAAATGAAGAGGTCCTAAAGCCTAGACAAAACAGCAAGTAGGAAAAAATTGGCTAAATAAGGACACAGATGGGAACACATGGGAGACAAGGGGAATCTTGGGTCCCAAAAGCGAGAACAACAGGAATGAGGAGAGAAGTGAAGAAAGCGCTGGGAAAGACTACAGGGACAAGGAAGGAAAGAAAGGAAAGAGGAGAAAAACTATCCTCTCCGTCCCAAATGCCGGAGACCTGGAAAGAAGCACGGTAGTGGAGAGAGGATAAGGAGACAAGTTGGAGACAAGTAGGAAGGTAAGTAGGGTAACACGTGGTAGAGACTGAGGGTAAGGGAATGTGACCTGAACAAAGGAAAAAAGGCAGGGAGAAACACAAGAGGCCAGGAAATCCATTCTTCCCCCAGCAGCAGCAATGGGGAGGGGATTAAGGATACACGTTGGAGGGAACAAGAAAGGGCAAGTGAGGAACCGGAGAGAATCATGTGTCCAAATAAGCACCTAGAGAGAAGAACAGCAAGAGAGAGAGAGAGAAGTAAGGGCATGAGTTGGAGAGAACAAGGGGGACAAGCACATAGACAGACAGAGGACAAGGAGCATACTGTGCCCCGGAAGCACCCAGAGAGAACAGCCACATGTGAGAGTGAAGTAGAGAGACGAGTACGAAAACAGATGGGACTTGAGTCCTGTCCCAAAGCCACCAGAACGAAGAACACTGAGCAATGGAGAGAGAAGTGAGGAACGGGAGACAAGGGGAGATTCCTTTGACCGAAAGCACCCAGAGAGAAGAATCGCAATGGAGATAGAGAAATAAGGAGACAAGTTGGGAACAGACAAGGAGACAAGTATGGAAACAAATGGGATCAGAAAGGAGGACGGTCGCATTATACCAAAAGGTCCCTGCCACATATGTATATATATATATATTTATCACTATGTGTATGTATATATATAACTATATATATATATTACTATATATATAATATAAATATAAATAATATATACATATATATATAAGTATGTATACAACATTATATATATATAGCTGTATATATAAATTTATAGCTGTAATATGTAAACATATAAAACTGTATATATATATATACACATAACTATACATATATAACAATATATGTAACTATATGTTTAACTATCTATAAGTATATAAACTATATTTAAAATAAATTCAAAAAACTATACATAACTAAGTATAACTATATAAATAACTATAATAACTATATATAATTGTATCTTTATAACTATATATATTTAACTATGTGAAAAAGTCATAAAAAGACTATGTATATGTTTTTAATTTACTTAACTATGTATATAATATATATATACAGTATATAATTATACATATATATATACAGTATATTTATATTTATATATAATTCATTTAACTAGATATGTATATATACATATAACTATAACTACAGTATATAGTAACTTTGGAATGAAACACCCGACGCACACATCCAAGATGCAATGGTGATGCCGCCGTCAGGATCACTAAAAACCTCAAGTCGACGTCGCCCGAAACAAAACAAAAAAAAAAACTACCAAAGACCACACTAAACCCGTGCCGATGGTGAGAGTTGCACACAAATGCGGACGAGTCTTGAGAGATGAACATAAATGGCAAAAACAACCATCAAAGTGGGAAATTGGGAACCCAAATGCGTTGGCCTTGGGATTTGTTGGGCAATACGCTTGGCTGACAGCTGATGGGCTCCAATCTTGTGAGCGAAATTATGACCGGCGAGAGCATTCTGCTGGAGTACAACATCAACGAACGGACAGCGACATTGAAAGACAAAGCACCAAATCCACCCAAATCGAAATGATTTCAACTCCAAATTGCATGATTCAAACATATGCCAAATCTCAACCACTTGCTCGGACAATCCCAAAATATCTGAAATCTCATGCACGTGCTGGAGAGTCCAGGCAGCCTGAGGACTTAGTTCTGGATCAATGTACTCATACAACACCCGCTAGTGTAGGGCACAAAGAACATCAAAAAACGACGAACCAAACCCACGGCTGAAGCAAATGGGTAGAAACTGAGAGATGGCGCAACTTGCGTTTGAACTCGTTCAAGTCCAGGAAGGTCTCAATAGAGCTGGAAAACATCCAAAAGTATCCAAAAGTATCCAAAAGCATTTGTCTCCAAACAACCCCTGGTCACAAGATGTCGCAGGTTTGTATGGCATAAGATTTACCACTTATATCTCCAAAACCCATTGCTCACGAATGTCCTGGAACTTTTTCGTCCAAGATTCTGAGCACATAACAAGCACAACACAGAAAAATGGTATCATTGGAATCATTGGTATCCATGATCTTTCCGCTACCAGCTACCAGCGCTCCCCGGCCCCACCCAGCTCCAGGCCTCAGGAGTCCGAGGTTGACCCGGCCGCTTCAGCAGTTCCGTAGGGTTTGCCGCGATGCCATATTTCTGCACCAGGCCTTGAAGTTGAAGGTGGTTGAATTTTGTGGTGTGGTTGAATGTTAGCTTAGTGCTTGTTTGAAGTGGCCTAATAGAGGCTGAGCAATATTGCAAAATACCCGAGCTGCGAGTTTCCCACTTTTTTCCTTTACCTCCCTCCCCTCTGGCCAAAACTATTCTCAATTCCCCGGGGAACGGGTCACGCACAATTTGGGACCAAACACTCTGTCCGTTCCACAATCTACCGCAGAACTTCTCCCTGGCTGGAGCCAAGGGTCGCTTTCCAAACTCCTCCAATTGAGGACAAAGAAGTTCATGCCAGACAATCTTCTCCTCGCAGTCTTCCTCCTGGGTGGAAATGCCATGCCCAATGAACTTCAAGCATTACATGCATCAACAAACATCAACATCCATCGACATGCATCAATCGCATCTACGCAAAACCGCTTGCTGAAAGCGCCTCAGCAGTAGGCAGAGCACTGCCTAGCCACTGCATCACACTCGGCGTCGAGGTCTCCTTTGGCAAAGGGCTCTCCTGAACAGCAGCCACAAAACGCAAATCTACGCAAAAATCCTGAGCAAAGCCGAGCCAATGCTTCTGGGAAAAATTGCGTGAGAAAACATTGGCATGTGGACAGAACATGGCAAAATGTTGCAGAATAAAACAAAATATCGTCTGAACTCAACGAAGCACCTTTGCTGTGGAGGTCCCTCCACATCTTTGCTGAAACGAAGCAGCAGTCAACAAACTTCAAGCATTACATGAATTCAGGTGCATCAACGTGCATCAGCACGCTTCGGCATGCATCAACATGCAACAACATGATCCAAAATTAGCATCAATATGCATCAACAATCATCAACGTGCATCAAAAATCAACAACATGCATCCTCAGAAGCGCATGTACACAAGCACTTCTTGCTGAACGAGCCTCAGCTCTAGTCAGGGCACTGCCTGGCCACTGCATCCCACTCGGCGTCGAGGTCTCCTCAGGCAAAGTGCTCTCCTGACAGCTGTACAAAACACAGAAGCCAAAAGACACACAAACAGTAACAAACTCACAAAACCACGTACCCAACAAAATGCCAAACAAAAACCTAGCCAATGTAGCCAATGCTCATCCGAAAGGTTGCCTGTGACAACCAGATAGCAGACAGAACATGACAGAACATGACAGAACATCATCTAAACCCAAAAGCTCCTTTGCCGCAGAGCTTTCTGGAAACCATGGTGATGGTGGAAATCCAGTAGAGGACTCTGCCGTCACCTTGGGCAAACGAGGTGCATGCGCGTAATAATACCAAAAACAATAGGAATCGTGATCACAACAATAAAAATAAGCATCATGATATATCATGATGATAATAAACCTGCTTGGATCTTTCAACGAGCAGCAATTTGTTGTTGTTGTTTGGAATTTCGGAATGAACATATGCATTTATTGCAGGAAAATTCAGCTGATTGATGGGGAACATCCCAATTCTGTGTGAGAAAAATCAAGTTGTTGCTAAAACCCAATTTTGGTCAATGTGAAAAAAATGGGAGGACAATATGTTTTCTGGGCACATCACTTTTTGGAAAGAAAAGCATCATTGACTGCCACCACTAAGTATCAGGATTGACCATCTCTTTATCAGCCATCATTTACTATCAACATGAACTAACGGTCATTAAGGTCAACCATCATCATTCACTATTAAAATTAATTATATAATGATCATTGATATTTATTAACCATCATTAATGCATCATTAGCCATTCTCTTTAAGCATCATTAAGCATCCATGCCAGAAACCGTCCTGATCCCGTCCAACATCAGTCGTTCCAAACGGCCTTGTTTGTATTGACCCTTTCGCAAGAAGTCCATCCCTTCTTTGTTGCTGTTGAGCACCAGTTGCTCATAGTCGGCACAGGGAAGTCCATTGCTTCCAAGGATGTATATCAAAGGTTGTTTGTGCGAATGCAGCGCAGTTGCAGTAAGTTCAAATATGCGCATCAGTGAGTTGCAAGTTTCGGTTTTGGCAGTTCTCGGTCGTTTCACTCTGCGAGGTTGTTTCAAGAAACAAATGCACATGCTCTCAAACCAATTCAACAACATTCCAAGAACACACGTTGCTTGGAGCCATCAAGAGAATAAATTCAGCTTCATCCGAAACATGTGAATGGAATGAACATGCATTCAAATTATCTCAGTCATTCGAAACTGCCAATTTTCAAGTTGATGTTTGATTGCATGAAAATTGAATGGTTAAGTGTGAAAAAATGGAAACTTCCAAATCTCAGTCTCAGACCCAAGATCAAATCTGCAGTCATGGAAGTCATGGAACCAAAATTCCGGTAAGAGGACTGGATGACTAATTTGCACCTCTTTGTTTGAACTGGTTGTGCAAGCTTGAGACTTTACAGGATTCCAGGAAACGCGTCCAGGAAAGTGCTTTCATGTTACGCCCGCCATTGTCCGGTAGACATCATCGCTTTCAGCGTCTTGCAGGTCTACCGAAGTCTATGTACACCTCAGTGGGCCTCCAAGTTGCGTCACAGTAGCATGTCCTGTTGACCAAACATGGTGACAACTTTGACAACTGGTCCTTTTGGTGTGAATTGAAAAACAAAATAAAATGAAACAAACCCTTCTTCAGGATGTTTCATGCACATTCTGTTGGACCCTTGATAAATAGTCTGTCACAATCGTTCAGTCAATCGTTCAGTCAATTGTTCAGTATCTTTCAGCCTTTTCCTGTCTCTGATGCTTGCCCGCTTCTGATGCATTCATCATTGACAGACAACTCTTGAGTCTCTGTTGTTTCACTGCGGAAGTCATGGGCACATAAAATTCCAGGCCATGTGGCAAGCTTAATTCGAGGAGGCTGCCATTCTCCTCTTAATCTGCAGGCCTGTGTGTGTGTGTCTCAGCACAAATCAGTCAGTCGTTTTGCCGCGACGTGGCCCTGAAACCCCTCAACCTCGGGTGGTGTATTAGGGGAAACAACAAGAACCTGTCCACAGTTTGGGCATATTTGGCGTGTGTCGCAACCCGCCTGCTTCTTTCCAAGCCCGCAAGTAGCCAATGTCTTCGCGTTGATGAAATTGAAATATTCGAGGTGCTTGCCTCCGACAATCCGCTTCGAAGGGCCAAACCAGAGTTGCAAGCAGCCTAACAGGCGCAAAGAAGGTACGTAAACGACAAGAGTATCATGCACTCCAATCCCTGCATTGGAACACTCCTTGGCATTCCTTGGCTAATTTGCTGCCTCTCAAAAACCTTTTGTTTGTCGGCTACATGCAGGAAGCCTTTGTCGTCTAATCACAGCACAAGTTGATAGCTGCTTTTGCGAAACCTCCCCCACCTTGGACGCCCTCTGAAGAATCACCACGAAGTCGCAGCGTTGACAGCAGTCTGTCTCTGACATCAGACCATGACGAGTTGGTTTCAACGCGCGTCACCGACATCGAAGCTGTGAACTCTTCAATGGGATGCCACTCTCGCGCCATCCTAGGCATTATGTCACCAAGGTTCTGACCTCTGAGAGGACAAGATTCTGAGAAGTGAATATGCTGCATACACACATGTTTATTTCTAAACTTCGAAATGGCTAGCAATAGCAGCCGTGGCGGTGGCTGTGGCGGGGGGGGGGGGGGGGGGGGGGGGGGGGGGGGGGGGGGGGGGGGGGGGGGGGGGGGGGGGGGGGGGGGGGGGGGGGGGGGGGGGGGGGGGGGAGGTGGGAGGTGGTGACGAGGAATCGGGTTTACGAGTGGGGTTTGGGAGTGGGATTTGGGAGTGGGTTGAGTAGCAGATTGCACCTAAAGCAACGCACTACCGGTAGTGAAAGTCCTAGCCAACTGGCATTGGCTGGAGTGCTCACACTCTGTCATCAGGATCGCAAGTTGGGTTGCAATAACAGGAGCAGTTGAAATGGGCAAGGGAGAGGCAAAAGGATGTAGGTGAAGCAGAAGAACGAGCCAAAGAAAAGCAAAGAAAAGAGAAGCAGGTACGCTAGAAAGGTGAACAGGACAAGGGCAAAAGCTGAAAAGGGTCAGGAATGGAAACAAGAAAGTAAGCAATCACAAAGAAGAGCGGGCAACGACATGCGATTTGCTCTCTTCCCCAGAGTGATCTTCATACAAACATCCCTGGAAAATATCCCAGCTTTAAAAATGACTGGCAATGAAAGGCGATCGCAAACAGCAAGCCCTTGACACAGCAAAAACCTGCAAAACTGCTGTATATAACTTATATAACCACAAACTGCTGCATTCAGCCACGCGACGGTACATCACTCAGCGGCTGAAGTGTATCTATGTCCACCAAGCGGAACAAGTGAGTTAGCCAGACCTGCACCATCTTAAAAGAGTTGCCAGTTGACATCGGAATGCAAAGATTGATCCTTTCGTCCACCAGCCTTGTGGCAGCCAAAATTGCTGGACACTGCCCGAACTTTCTGTTTCATCACTTCTTTCACCTTGGCTTGGTCCAAATTTCAGGCAGAGAAAATATGAGCAAATGCACTTATAACAGCTGTAACAGCAATGATCAAACTCCGTAGTTTCTGCCTGACAGCTCGTTTATTTCAGCACATCTCGTATGTACCCTTTCATAAGTCTTAGTTGAGGCACGGGAAGAAAGCCCAGCACGTGAAGAAATATCCTCAGCACCGCAGCCAGCTGTTGACAGTTCATTGGGGTCAGTTTCAATCTGTCTTTGTTCTGCCAAGTAGCTGATGAAGGACACTGGCCTCCAAGGATTGGCACCTGCAGTCGCCAAGGATTCATATCATGCTGTTTCTCGATCAAAGCGCGGACATGACACGCCCTAGTCTTGATGCGCACACACACAAGGCAAACCTAGACAATCCAAAGATGTTTCGATTTGTATGATACCTTGCGGCTGGAACTCCACTTCAAATGCAAACAAGAGTCTGAGGAGTGCATAGAGTAGCTGCACTGGTTTGAACAACCTGGTCAACATTCAGAAGCATTATCCTTTCGGAAGGAAGTGCGTCACCAACACAATTGTTTCAAATCCTGAGAGTAGAAGAAGGCTTCCAACAGCTGCACTACATTCATGAGTTCATCACTCAAACGCTCAAGCCACCAAACAAAGAACGTTCATGGGTCCCAAGTGCTTTGTCTTTGGTTGAAAGGTTGGCTGGCAGAATAAGCAGTCGTCAACTTGTACTTCCGGCCAAACGGCTCCATTGACAGCATCCGAACTCTTGCTTGTTTGCAAGGTTGTTGCAGCTTCACAAGCCCTCGGCAAGAAAAAATGACCAGATCGTGTGAGGAAGGTCAAACCAAACTCCATCCAGTTGAATCTCCGAGTACAAAAAGACATGAGAGAATCATTCTCGCAACGTCTGGCCAAGCTTCCACTTGCAATCTGATTGTTGTGCCCCAGTGCATAAAGCACCATTCGGATGATCCGCCTCGTTCACAGTATTCGGAAGGGGGGGGCATTAGAAGGACACAAGATAATGAAGCGATTTCATGTTGGACAAAAAATGGACCGATGCAAAAATCGGATTGAAATAACATGAAATAGAAATTCTATGAAATTCTCGCTCATGCACCCAGGGTGTCACCCTTCTTTCTTTTGGATCTGCCCCCCGGTGTGAGCACCTCGGACTCGCCGTCCGAATCGCTGCTGATGTCGAGCATCTGCGGCTTCGCCGCCTAGCCCAGCCAAACGCTCTGGTCCCTTTATAGCTCACCCACTTGACCAGAAACGCCAACTCTGCGCTGCAACCTAATCTCCGATATCAACATCGTTGTACAAAAAGAACGTTGGTCTTCTGTTGTTTCGCCTGACAGCCCTATGTCGGCACCTCTGAATCATCCTCGGAGTCAGTCATCAGCAACCCTCGCTGCCCGGATGCCTAGGTCGATCAAGCCGCACAGAAAAAATGCAGGTGAAGTGGAGGCGACAAGCCAAACACATTGGAATGTCAAGTGACTATGTCATGGCTTGATGCTGATCGAGCAAGAATTGCATCGCTGCCACATTTAACTTGCAAACATGGACTGCAAGACTACAGCCATGGATAGAATTTGAGACATTTGATAACAGTCAACAGTCGACACACTGAATTGTTGAATAAACTCTGCAAATGTGCAGATGGCCTGTGCAACGCCACCACCTCCGTCCGGATGATCATCAACGTTATTGATATCCTCCCCCTCGTCAGACTCGGAAAGCACATCATCCTCTTCGGGCACCCCCGTAGTCGTCGTACCGAATGAGAGTCGCCTCCGTGCAGCACGGAAGGAAAGGAGTTCAGAAGAGACAGAGTAGTTAAGGCTGCATGAGCCGGCTGCTTGATTCACAACCGTGTCACAGATCGTCTTAGAATGTCTTCGCAATATGCCTTTGACTGAGAGTCGGTACTTGGCAATTTTTCTCACAAAGACATGGCCACTAAGTGTCAGTTTGCATCGGCCAAATGCCTGTTCTTGTCCTTCTCGGACTCCTCCTCTGTGGAAGCCACTGGCAAAAGGTCCTGATTGGGAAGGCCCGCAGACAAGGAATGCAACACAACAGGCTCACGCGATGGCGTGGACATCAGCAGGGGGCTGGTGTCAAAATGTCGAGCAATTTCGGAGAGTCGTAGCCCTTTTACTGTTCTTGGCAATGTTGCCCACATGTGAACGGGCCGCAAAGGGCCGCAAATGAAATCATTATATCACTGACTTGACAAGGATGTAACATCTAACATCATCTAATATCATCTAACCATCTGAAAATTCCAAGATTTCCTGAGTTCCACGCTGTTTCAAACATTGGTCGAGGCATTGAACACCTTCTGAACATGATTGAAATGTGACACACAAGGACTTCAACTTCTCTGGGACAGGAAATTTCTGAAGCTGGGAGTCTGACAGAGGCGCGGTGGCCTCAAAGACTGGTGGCTGGCAACAGCCCCTTTCGCAATCTAGCTGCTCAGCAAGTTGCTGTGCCAGCTGTGAGAGAAACAAAAGTTTCACAGCTGGCTGCAAATGCCTCAAGACAGACAAGAACAGCAGGTGAGAAGGAGACAAAGAGATGTTGACATCCATTGAAAAGACCATATCAAATACTCGGCCAAGAAGCATCCATGTTTCCAGTTTGCCACTTACCCGCCATGTGGGCTGGCAGCAGCCCCTTTCGCAATCCAGCTGCTCAGCAAGCTGCCGTGCCAGCTGTGAGACAAACAAAAGTTGTACAGCCGGCTGCAAATGCCTCAAAACAGAGAAGAACAGCAGGCAAAACGAAGAAAAATAGATTGATGTTGACATCCATTGAACAGACCATCTCAAATACTCGGCCAAGAAGCATCCATGCTTCCAGCTTGTCATTTACCCGCCATGTGCATGGGCGCCAATCATGCGCCATCGACATCGTGACGAATGTCTCAGGTTGTGTACCGTAATTGGCTGTAACTCTTCACTGATATCAGGTTCTTCTAGCAAAAAATGCAAAACCCCGATCAGGGGAAAGAAAAAGCCGGTTTGCCCTTTTTGGTTATGTCTTGCAACCACCTCAAACCACTAGTCACTAGTCAGCGTATGCCGCGGTGATTTGCAGTTGGACGAAAACAAAATGTTTTGATAAGTTGAACGCTGCAGCTGTGATATCCGCTTTCAAGCACAAAGAGCCTGCTGTAGCAGCACATGCATCATGATTGCTTTGCGATCTTCTGTTTCACTTCATAGTTCAATCTTGCGATATCTTACCAGCTGGCAGGTTTGGAGAAAGATCTCCCAATAGTTCTAACCTATTGCCCGTACATGTCGAACCCCGTACACGTCGAACAAATGCATGTTTCCAAAATGAGGCATGGAGATCCCATGTGTGGAGTGTGAAATTGTTGAGCACGACCTGTCCCAATGTGCGAATCTCATCAACAAAATGAAATTTAACAGCAGTGATATTTTTCTCTTCAAGATCGTCATTTGCAAGGAATTCCCAGCATAGAGGGTCCACAAGGAGCTCAAGTGCTGGATGGACAGGATTGGTGCATCCCTGAGGGCTTTTGCTGTTCCACTTTTTCTGCCGACTTTTGGTTCCCAGTCGGAAAGCGTGTTGACGGATGTGAATCTCTGGTGCAGCGCCTGCTCGGGCCAGCAACGACTGAGCTCTTTGACATTAGTGGCGATGCAGATGAAAAGGAGCAAATTTGCCCCAAATTACATTCGTTACAGCTTTCGCATGCCGCCGGCCCTGGTATTTCGAACATCTGCAGTGTCAATCAGAAACACCAACTCATCCAACTTTAGTGTTTTTCCGAGCTGTGCCTCAATCCAGCAGCTGCTTACCTTAGACACGGAAGGGTTTCCTTCTCAATCATGGCACATGATTATATAGAAACAAGTGCGTTCGATTCACACTGTAATTCCAGTTTCGGAACATATCTGACTGCCAAAGACGGCATGCACTTTGCATCCTGGCATGTGTTGAAGATGCAAATTGCTGTATTTATATAAAAGGCGAAGTAGGCCTGAGTCAAAGGCATGGGTTCAGGCACCAGGCACTTGCTGCTGTCGAATGAGACAGTAGATGATGACTGTAGGCTGTACCTGTCATGACTCACTGCCCTTTTCGAAGGATTTGGCATGATGTAGTGACACTTTCAGGTTGGTGGCTGGAAAAGAAGACCATGTAGGAAATCCATGGAAGTCCATCGTGTGTATGTATAATATTACATGCATCTGGTACCTGTCTATTCAGGACAGACATTCTGCAATGAAAATGTACAAGGTCAAGGAGCACCTCGGCAGAAATTCAATGAAAACAGGATTCCATAGATCTTGAAGACGATGAAGTTCAAGCGATCTCTGAGTCTGAGAAAGGTGCATGTCATTCATGAGAGTCAGTTCAGGCCTGCGACGATGCATTCACTCCCCCATTCCAGTTTTTGAACTGTTGGGAGAAACATGGAGAAACTGTATTGACTCAAACATGCCAATGTCACACATGGGTCAAAAACATGAACCGGCTGCAGTGTGTATCACAGCATTTCCAGCCTTGTTCAGCGACCAAGAGATCATGGGTCCGCAGAATGGACTTGTAATTAAGCACTATGCCTGGCACAAGTAGTCACCGTTTGCTCAATTCATTGCTACCAAACACACACCCAAGCAATTGACATTGCTATTGGAAACAATATCCTGTTGCCTATCATTTGTGGTTGGTGTGAAGTCAGTCATGACAAACACATAAACTATCCCAAAGGCTGCCGGCTTCAGATTCTTGGCGTGGGCCCAATGCAAAGTACTGTTCAATATCCTATCCATGACCTTTACTACGTGCTGTGCGACCAAGAAACGCAAAGTATTGTAGAGTATTCGCAGCGTTCGATGCCTGACACCGATGTCAAGCAAAATTCAACGGAAGTCAGGCACTCCACAGACAGCCTTCAGCGAAGCAAGACTCCCGTCATCAAGATTTCAACCATCAGTACAAAGTTTTGAATTGGTTAGGTTGATTCACGATGAATCATACATTACATATTCAGATTGTTTCCTTTGGACTAGCTGTAGCGACTTGCAATGAAACTAAGAACGCTGATTTTGGTGTTTTGGCATGCGTTTTCTCTCGTTCCCTCTCCCTCTCTGGGGGACATCCAGTCTGGACTTTGACATGCACCCTGAACAGTCATGAAATTCATTCCTCGAGTGATTTTCCCAGACTAGCCATCTGCTCCCAAACACAAGTTTGCGGTTTCGTGACACAGTTCCATAGTGTCTTGCAAACACAAAACATGTCAAAACACATATCATCAATTGCGTTCAGCAAACCTTTTGTGAAGCTCTTCATAGTGAGAAGAGCCGAGGCGGTCCCAAAATAAAATCACTCAATTCAAAAATAAAATTCTGATCCTGCTTCAAAACCACCTTGGGTCAATGCTTCTCACAGCTGTTCAGAATCAACAGTACTAGGCCGCCAACGTGGTTCAACATAAACAGCATTAAACCCTGAATGGTTGCAAATGAATCTCCGACGACACAAAAACACATTGGCAAATTTCCTGGCCAACTGTTGAAGACTATTTTGAGAACCACAACACGTTTCCCTTTGAAGATGTACGTTTGGATATCACGCACGTAAAATTCTCACAAAATGATGTTTTGATGGACAATTTTCGGACTTACGCAACTTGCATCATCTTCTGTCTTGTCGAAAATAATCCTCACAACCGAATGGAGGGGGCGGGTATAAGAAACCTGAATCTATCACACAATCAAACCGCGCTAAAACAAAAACAATTTCAGGAAGCTGAAACTAGCTGCCATTTTGGGTAAAACAACCAGTGTTGGAGGCTTGCTGTCAAAAATCAAGAAATCCAATGGGAATGGTTTCGAAACTAAAAATCACTAGACACGATGCATGCGTGCTCAACACGACTAGCTACTTCGATTCTTGGAGGCCCATACCTGTCACATGGAACAACAAAAAGAAAACAATCATATAAAACCTGTATGCATACACTGTCCATGTCTTGGCTAAACCACAACTCTGCATTAGATTACGTTACGTGAGCTATGGACAGCAACAATGAAGTACCAGCAAAGGCAGCCAGCCCTGCCCCAGATAACCAGATGGCCAACCCAAACAGCGCAGACATAGCAGGATTTCATCAATCGGACACACATGCCACTGCCTTCATCAGAAGGCAGATCAAACCACGTTATCTGAGCTAGGTGCTTTGTGCATTTTGACTTCGAAATGTGCTTCGCGCCACAACAGCGTGCACTTTTTTGACATCGCAACTTCCAAAAGTGGTCCGACAATGGTGCGTTTTCTACATTTTGACTTGGAAATGTGCTTCGCGCCACAACGGCGCACTTTTTCGACATCTCAACTTCCAAAAGTGGTCCGGACCGAGGTGTTTTGTACATTTGGCTTCGAAATGTGCTTCGCGCCACAACGGCGTGCAATTTTTCATCTCGCATCTGGCCAGCTGGCTCCGCACCCGCCGCTTTAGCGAGCCCACTTTTCGACCCTCCGGAGCCTCAAATCATTGGCATCACATGCATGAAGTGCATCAACATGCATCAGCAATCATCAACGTGCATCAAAAATCAACAACATGCATCCTCAGAAGCGTATGCACACAACCACTTCTTGCTGAACGCGCCTCAGCTCTAGTCAGGGCACTGCCTGGCCACTGAATCCCACCTGGCGTCGAGGTCTCCTTTGGCAAAGGGCTCTCCGCACAGCTGTACAAACCACAGAAGCCAAAGACTCACACAAACTCGCAAACCCAACAAGACAAGATGCCCAAAAAACCTAGCCAATGTACCCAATGATTATCGAAAAGGTGGCCTGTGACAAATCCGCTACTGTAGCATGTGGACAGGAACATTACAGAACATCGTCTAAACCCAAAAGCTCCTTCGCCGAGGCCATTGCTTCCAAGGATGTATATCCAAGGTTGTTTGTGCGAATGCAGCACAGTTACAGTAAGTTCAAATATGTGCATCAGTGAGTTGCAAGTTTCGGTTTTGGCAGTTCTCGGTCGTTTCACTCTGCGAGGTTGTTTCAAGAAACAAATGCAAACGCTCTCAAACAAATTCAACAACATTCCAAGAACACACAAGGCTTGGAGCCATCAAGAGAATAAATTCAGCTTCATCCGAAACATGTGAATGGAATGAACATTCATTCAAATTCGAAACTGCCAATTTTCAAGTTGATGTTTGATTGCATGAAACTTGAATCGTTAAGTGTGAAAAAAAGGAAACTTCTAACGCAGACCCACGATCAAATCTGCAGTCCTGGAACCAGATGACTCATTTGCACTTCTTTGTTTGAACTGGTTGTGCAAGCTTGAGACTTTACAGGATTCCAGGAAACGCGTCCAGGAAAGTGCTTTCATGTTACGCCCGTCATTGTCCAGTAGACATCATCGCTTTCAGCGTCTTGCAGGTCTACCGAAGTCTATGTACACCTCAGTGGGCCTCCAAGTTGCGTCACAGTAGCATGTCCTGTTGACCAAACATGGTGACAACTTTGACAACTGGTCCTTTTGGTGCGAATTGAAAAACAAAATAAAATGAAACAAACCCTTCTTCAGGATGTTTCATGCACATTCTGTTGGACCCTTGATAAATAGTCTTTCACAATCGTTCAGTCAATCGTTCAGTACCTTTCAACCTTTTCCTGTCTCTGATGCTTGCCCGCTTCTGATGCATTCATCATTGACAGACAACTTTTGAGCCTCTGTTGTTTCACTGCGAAAGTCATGGGCACATAAAATTCCAGGCCATGTGGCAAGCTTAATTCGAGGAGGCTGCCATTCTCCTCTTAATCTGCAGGCCTGTGTGTGTGTGTGTCTCAGCACAAATCAGTCAGTCGTTTTGCCGCGACGTGGCCCTGAAACCCCTCAACCTCGGGTGGTGTATTAGGGGAAACAACAAGAACCTGTCCACAGTTTGGGCATATTTGGCGTGTGTCGCAACCCGCCTGCTTCTTTCCAAGCCCGCAAGTAGCCAATGTCTTCGCGTTGATGAAATTGAAATATTCGAGGTGCTTGCCTCCAACAATCCGCTTCGAAGGGCCAAACCAGAGTTGCAAGCAGCCTAACAGGCGCAAAGAAGGTACGTAAACGACAAGAGTATCATGCACTCCAATCCCTGCATTGGAACACTCCTTGGCTAATTTGCTGCCTCCCAAAAACCTTCTGTTTGTCGGCTACATGCAGGAAGCCTTTGTCGTCTAATCACAGCACAAGTTGATAGCTGCTTTTGCGAAACCTCCCCCACCTTGGAGGCCCTCTGAAGAATCACCACGAAGTCGCAGCGTTGACAGCAGTCTGTCTCTGACATCAGACCATGACGAGTTGGTTTCAACGCGCGTCACCGACATCGAAGCTGTGAACTCTTCAATGGGATGCCACTCTCGCGCCATCCTAGGAATTATGTCACCAAGGTTCTGACCTCTGAGAGGACAAGATTCTGACAATGAATATGCTGCATACACACATGTTTATTTCCAAACTTCGAAATTGCTAGCAATAGCAGCCGTGGCGGTGGGGTGGTGGCGGTGGTGGTGGTGGCGGGGGGGGGGGGGGGGGGGGGGGGGGGGGGGGGGGGGTGGGAGGTGGTGACGAGGAATCGGGTTTACGAGTGGGGTTTGGGAGTAGCAGATTGCACCTAAAGCAACGCACTACCGGTAGTGAAAGTCCTAGCCAACTGGCATTGGCTGGAGTGCTCACACTCTGTCATCAGGATCGCAAGTTGGGTTGCAATAGCAGGAGCAGTTGAAATGGGCAAGGGAGAGGCAAAAGGATGTAGGTGAAGCAGAAAAACGAGCCAAAGAAAAGCAAAGAAAAGAGAAGCAGGTACGCTAGAAAGGTGAACAGGACAAGGACAAAAGCTGAAAAGGGTCAGGAATGGAAACGAGAAAGTAAGCAATCACAAAGAAGAGCGGGCAACGACATGCGATTTGCTCTCTTCCCCAGAGTGATCTTCATACAAACATCCCTGGAAAATATCCCAGCTTAAAAAATGACTGGCAATGAAAGGCGACCGCAAACAGCAAACCCTTGACACAGCAAAAACCTGCAAAACTGCTGTATATAACTTATATAACCACAAACTGCTGCATTCAGCCACGCGACGGTACATCACTCAGCGGCTGAAGTGTATCTATGTCCACCAAGCGAAACAAGTGAGTTAGCCAGACCTGCACCATCTTAAAAGAGTTGCCAGTTGACATCGGAATGCAAAGATTGATCCTTTCGTCCACCAGCCTTGTGGCAGCCAAAATTGCTGGACACTGCCCGAACTTTCTGTTTCATCACTTCTTTCACCTTGGCTTGGTCCAAATTTCAGGCAGAGAAAATATGAGCAAATGCACTTATAACAGCTGTAACAACAATGATCAAATTCCGTTTCTGCCTGACAACTCGTTTATTTCTGCACATCTCGTATGTAGCCTTTCATAAGTTGAGGCACAGGAAGAAAACCCAGCACGTGAAGACATATCCTCAGCACCGCAGCAAGCTTTTGACCATGAATGGGATCAGTTTCAATCTGTCTTTGTTCTGCCGAGTAGCTCAGGAAGGAAATTGGCCTCCAAGGATTCGCTCCTGCAGTCGCCAAGGATTCATATCGCATGCTAGTCTTGATGCACACACACAAAGCAAACCCACGAATTCAGAGACAATCTAAAGATGTTTCGATTTGTATGATGCCTTGCAGTGAAAGGAACTCCACTTCAAATGCAGACGAGAGTCTGAGGAGCGCATGCATCAGCTGCACCGATTTGAACAACCTGGTCAACGTTCAGAAGCCGTATGTATCATTTCTGACGGAAGCATGTCACCAACATGACTGTTTCAAATCCTGAAAGTCAAAGAAGGCTTTCTAACACCTGCACATGCACTCAAATGCCACCAAAAAAGAAGCTTCAAGGGTCCCACAGTTCTTTGTCTTTGGGTTGAAAGGTTGTCCGGACCCCCTGAATAATCAACCATCAACTTCCAGCCGAACGGCTCCATTGACAGCATCGGAACCCTCGCTTGTTTGCAAGGTTGTTGCAACTTCGCAAGCCCTTAGCAAGAAACAATTGCCGAAATCTTGTCAGAAAGTTCAAACAAAATTCCATTGGAAAAAAACTCCGATCACAAAGTGACCCATTCTCACAACGTGTGGCCAAGTCTCCACGTGCAATCTGATTGATGTGCCCCAGTGCATGAAGCACCATTCGAACCATCCACCTCTGTCACATATCAAGGCTGCAACGGATCCCGAAGTTCAGACTGCTGACATCATATACTGGGAAGGGGGCATTGGAAGGACACAAGATTGTGAAGCGACTTGCTTCGGAAAAGAGATTGGACTAAACCCCCCCACGACCAAAACACATGTGCTCACCAACACGAAGGCGCCAATTGAGTGGCCTCATTCGAGTTTGAAGAGTTCTCTTCAAACCTGGTGCGAAGGCGTGTTTTTTCATGCATCAAGCA